GGGGCCCGAGGGAGGGTCGGGTGTGCGGGATGGGGTTTGGAGCAGGTGGTTCTGCGTCCCGAACTTGGACGCCCGTGGCCGGGATCTCGGAAGTAGTTAGGGGTCATGGAGACGAGGCAGCTTTTATGGAGACAATATTGGGTTAGGGGGCCCCCATGGGATCATTGCGTTAAGGAGAGAATACCCATGGTGGGGTGCTTAGCTGTGGGCGGGGCTCCGCGGTCGGGGGAGGAGCCTCGGGCCGGGGTGGGGTTAAGGCCGACCTGCGTCTTTGAAGGCAGATTAGGGGCTCCAGCCACCTCTAAAGAGGGTGAGATTGTAAATTGGGATACCTGAAGCCCCAGAAATGTTAGCAGGCTTTGTTGCTTCTTGGGAATGCAGTGGGTGGGATGTGACGGTTCGCCCCCTCTCGCCTCCCCTATTCTACCTCCACAGGAGACGCCAACCAACGAGCTGAGCGTCCAGGGCCCCCCCGAGGGGGACACGGACCCGTCAACGCCCCCAGCGCCCCCGACGCCTCCCCACCCCGCCACCCCCGGAGATGGGTTTCCCAGCAACGACAGCGGCTTTGGTGAGGGGCTGGGTGGGGCCTGGAGGGGCGGGGTCTGGAGGCGGGGCGGAACTGGCGCAGGGCCTGGAGGGGGCAGGGCTGGGGCGGGGTCTGGAGGCGGGGCAGGGCTAAGGCGGGGCCTGGAAGGGGCAGGGCTGGGGCGGGGTCTGGAGGCGGGGCAGAGCGGGCGCGGGGCCTGGAAGTGGGCAGGGTTGGGGCGGGGCTGGAGGCGGGGCAGAGCTAAGGCAGGGCCTGGAGGGGGCAAGGCTGGGGCGGGGTCTGGAGGTGGGGCAGAGCTGGGGCGGGGTCTGGAGGGGGCAGAGCTGGGGCGGGGTCTGGAGGTGGGGCAGAGCTGGGGCGGAGCTGGCGCGGGGCATTGCTGAGGCTGGGCCGCAGGCTCCGACTGCGGAGGCAGGTGCCTGAGGAGGGGCGGGGTCGGAGGACTGGAGCTGCAGGTGAGGGGCTCCAAAAGCGTCTGAGGGTCTGACCTCGTCCTCTCTTCTCCCTCACCGCGCCCCCACCCCGCTGCTAGGAGGCAGTTTCGAATGGGCGGAGGATTTCCCCCTCCTGCCCCCTCCAGGCCCCCCCCTGTGCTTCTCCCGCTTCTCCGTCTCGCCTGCGCTGGAGACCCCGGGGCCCCCCGCCCGGGCCCCCGACGCCCGGCCCGCAGGTACAGTGCTTCAGACCCTCTGCTGCTCCCCTTTCTGCCTGTCTCTCTCTGTCGCCATCTCTGAATTCCCCTGCCTCTCTCTCCACAGTCTCTCCCCTCCCCTCTCAGTCAACCCTGGCTGCTCAGTCCTGAGACCCCACCCAACTCTGGAACTAGCTCAGACCAGGTAGTGTTCATCAGACAGGCTTGGGGCAGTCGCGCCCCTTCCCTGAGCCTCAGTTTCCCCTTCTGTAAGGATCCCTTCACAGACTTGCTCATCTTTGCCGCGTTTCTTGCCTGGCACCTGTCAGGTCTTGATCCCAACGTTTGGGGACATGGGTTGATCAGAAACGGACACGGAGGGGGAGGAAAGCACTGCGCTCAGAGCTGGTTGTTTGGACCAGAGCAGAGAGAACATGGTCGGGGAGTTCAACAACAATAACAACAGCATTACTACTACTACTACTGCTGCTGCTGCTGCTACTAAGCACTTGCATAGGCCCTACATTGTGCTTGCCCATCTGAATCCATATAATCCACGCCAGGATCCCATGGGGTAGATTCTAGTCTCATCCCCATTTTACACACAAGTAAACTGAGGCACAGAGGAATGAGAAGCCGGGATTCAAACCCTGCTGCCTGCTCTCTGAGTCAGTTTCCTTTTTTTTAATTTATTTTATATTTTTAAAATGTATTTATTTTTAAAAATTTATTTCTAAGAGAGAGAGACAGCGTGAGCAGGGGAGGGTCAGAAAGGGAGAGACAGAATCTGAAACAGGCTCCAGGCTCAGAGCTAGTTGTCAGCACAGAGCCCTACGCAGGGCTCGAACCCACGAACTGTGAGATCATGACCTGAGCTAAAGCCAGACGCTCAACCGACTGAGCCACCCAGGCGCCCCTAAAATGTATTTATTTAAGTAATCTCTACATCCACTGTGGGGCTCGAACTCACGATCTGGAGATCGAGTCGTATGTTCCACCGACTGAGCCAGCCAAGCACCCGTGAGTCAGTGTTCCTTTCTGGTGTTTCACGTACGGCGAATAGCTAATCTTCAGCGTCATCTTGGGAGAGGGTCACCACATCCTAGTTTCTGACGGCCCCGAAGCTAAGGCCTATTTTACTCGAGGAGAGGAGGGCACAGCAATGTCTCTTCCTTGCGGAACCGGGTCGGGAGAGAGCCGACTCGGGCTCTCTGCTGCCCCCTGCTGCCGCTGCTGAGAATAGCCCCGGATGCCGAGCTCGCACTGGGCTGGGCAGGTGCAGGTGTTCTCAGGAAAGAGCTGAGAAGGTGGAAGGTGCGACCTGACCTTCTCACGGAGGGTTACAGTCCTGCCCCGCCCCCAGATCGTGCCTGAGTCCAGCTGTTGGCCCTCCCATTCCTCGGCCCCGTATAACCTAGAGCGAGTCCCCTTTCTTCTCTGTGCCTCAGTTTTCTCATCTGTAGAATGGGGATGATCACTGGATGGCCCTCTTAGGATTCTTGAGGGGTTTCAATGGCTTACCCGACGCGCACGCACAGCACAGCCTAGTCGAGCAGCAGGGGTCTCTGACTGGTAACTCTCACTGCACTTAATGAAGTCCATGTTCAAGGAGCCTTCGTTTGCTAAACACAGGCTCCCTGCCGGGCACAGGGGCGGGGGGAGGGGCAGGGAGGGAGGGACTGGTTCCGAGCGGAGCAAGATCCATGAGCTCCACTCCACCTTACCTAACGCACAGACACTGACCCCACGGTCTTGCAGTAAACAAGGAAGCACAAACTCAAGGTTGCTGGAAAAGCAAATGACAACGGAAAAGGGCCCTGTCGCCCTGCTTGGCAGTGCCATTTCATCGGGCGCTTGAAGGGTTCGCTGCCGTTAACTAGGTGAAGGGGAAGGGGACAGCGCGCTAGCAGATGGACCAGCTTGCACAGGGGCCCGAGGCGGGAGAGAACTTGGCCAGTTCAGGGAACAGAAGGGAGGCGTCTGGGGGTTAGTTAGGGAGTAGGGTAGATGGAGGGGGGAGGGGGCAGGGCGGACTGTGTAGGGCTTGAGGGTGGGCCGAACGGAGGGGCCTGGTCCTGGGAGCACTAGGGAGCCATGGGCCAGCTTGAGCAGGGGAAGGACAGCATCAGCCACTGGTATAGGAAGACCCACCCCCCCAAAGGGGCCACATGGGGGCCAACTGGAGGCTGGGAGGCTAGACCGGAGGCCAGGGCAAGCGTCCAGGCGGGAGAGGAAAGAGCAGACAGCGTCTGGGGCAGGAAGGACAGGGCTGAGGGCAGACTCCGGGTTCCACCTCAACTGTCACTTCCTCCCAGAGGCCTTCTGCGAGGCCCCCATGGGGACAGGGCGGGTGGGTTCCAGGGCGTGGGGACACTGCCAAGTGGTGAGTCAGGGCTGAGGCCAGCAGGGCCAGTATGCCAAGATGACTTCACCTTTAATCACCAGGAGGCGGGGGCCAGTCGTGTGAAACCCTAAATCGCTGCTATCCCTGCTCAACCTGTTTTCCAAGCTCGTGGGGAGGGGCCCAGGCCGGAGCGACCCCCACCCCCCCACCCCGCGCTCGCGGCGCTCTGCCCACTTAACCCTGGGTGCTGAGTGAAGCCACCTGTCTCCGCGTCTCTCCGCTCCTTAGAAAAGGACACAAGGGTCATGCTCCCCTTTTAAAGAGAGGGGAAACTGAGGCTCAGGGACAGGAATGAGGGCCACGACTTGACCCTCAGGTCACTCAGGTCAGAACTGTGGGGTGGAGAGGAAGGGCGCCCACCGCATGGCCCTCAGTGAACTCCTTCACCCCACAGACCTTGGTTGGCCGGATCTGTGGAATGGGTGGGGGCCTTCCTGCCGCTGGGACAGGAGGGGCCGTGCAACAGTGAGGGGGTCAGGCCCCCGTGCTGGACGCTGGGGATGCAGCAGTGACCGGACACAGTCCCGTCTAGAGAGCTTAGGTTCTAGAGAGGCAAACTAACAGCAGGAAGCTAGCAGACAATGGCTGGGATTGTCCCAGGGAAGACGCATGGGGAAAATAACCGTAGTGGAATGGCTGGGGGGAGGGGTGGGGTCACCAGGGGGCGACTGCTTGACTGAGAAGGGCCACTGAGGAGAGGGCCTGCCTTACATGGGAAGGGATAAGGAAAGGGCATTGGGTGTGGGGGGGGGGGATAGCCATGCAAAGGCCCTGGGGTAGGACTGTGCTTGGAACCGAGGAGGAACAGCAAGGAGGCCAGCATAAGGACAGAAATGGGACAGGGCCTGTGAAGATTTTCACTCAGAAGCCTTGAGGCCGATAATTCACTTTCTGTCTCCACTCCATCTGTCCTCAGGCCCCGTGGAGAACTGATTCCCCGGAGACCCCATCCCCCCGCACCCCCAGAAGAGGGGCTGAGGGTAGAATCCTCTGTGGACAACGGAGCCACTGCCACCACCACAGACACCGCCTCCGGGGAGGCTCCCGAGGCCGGGCCCTCCCCCTCCCCCACCATGTGCCAAACGGGAGGCCCTGGCCCCCCACCCCCTAGCCCCCCGGACGGCTCCCCCGAGCCCCCCGACCCCCTCGGTGCCAAATGAGGCAGGAAGCCCCTCGCCCCTCCCTGGACAGCCGCCTTTCTCGGACCTGAACTGAACTCTTTCGGGCCTGGAGCCCCTCGGCACAGCGGAGGCCCCTCCTCTCCCACTCCTGGCCCCAGAGAGGGGCTGCAGGCTTCGGGGACCTGGACCCCCCATCTCGCGTCTCCCTTCCTCCCCCTGCCCGGCCCCTGGAGGGGCCTCTGGTTCAAACCTTCGCGTGGCATTTTCACATTATTTAAAAAAGACAAAAACAACTTTTTGGAGGAATGGCGGGCCTGTGTGTGTTTCGGGACAGAGAAGAAGTCGGCTTCCGGCCGCCCGCTTCACAGATGGGAATGTCAAGGCTCGGGAAGGAGGAAGCGCCGCGCAGCGGTGAGGTGAGGTGAGCCGGGGGCTCTGGCTGGTGCTGGTCACACTGACCTGGATGGCAGCCTCCACTTACAGTTCAAGGGGCTGCAAGGAGGTGGAGAGAGTGGTTGGAAGAGCCGCATTTATACAGCTTTTACCAGCGTTTACACAGGGGGAGGGGAGGTGTGGAGGGAGGGTAGGGCTGGGGCGGGGGTGCTCAGGAATGGTGCTAGCACCCACATGGCTCCTGGCCACACATCCCAGAAGCCTCTGAGACCAGCCACTCCTCCCTGCCCACCATGGCTGTGCCTCAGTTTACCTGTGCCTCCATGTGACCACCCACCTCCCATGAGACATTCCCCTTTCTCACTCTGGGCCCCTCTTCCTGACTCTATTTCTTTGAGTTTCTCCATCTGTACTGTTTTCTCCTTGTCCGTGCCTCCCTGTCGCCTGTCTGTCTCTATTATGTCTTTCTGCCTTTGGGTTTGCCCGGATTCCTTTTCCTTCCTTTCTCCTGGGCGCTTGACTGATTCTGCCCGTGTCTCTGTCTTTTCCCCTCCTGACCCAGTCTGTCTTTGTGTCTCTTATCTCCTGGCTTCAACCTGTGCCCCATCACCTCCGTACTGCATTCATTGGCATATTTGAGGGACTCACTTGGGATGAGACCCGGGGGAAGGGCCCAGGGGCGGGGGCCCAGCTGGGATGCTGTGGGCTCCTGGCTTAGGAGTTAAGGTGATGAAGGCATTAGGGTCACTTGTAAGTCTGGGGAGTGGAGGAAGGGAGGGTGAGAGGGCTGGGTTCCACCTCTTCCCAGGGACTCTGCCGGTGCCCTGGAGCTGATCTTAGGACACACCTCCCCCCAGGCCAATGGAACCAGGACTCCAAGGTCTCAGGGAGGAGGGGCTGGGGGTCTGGACTCCGGGTCTGAGGGAGGAAGGCTGTATTACCTCATTAGGGCTGCTGTAAAAAGTGCCACATATTGGGTGGCTGAAACCACAGACACTGGCTAGAAGCCAAGATTAAGGGGTCGGCAGGATCAGTTCCTTCCGAGGCCATGAGGGACAATCGGTTACATGACTCCCCTAGCTTCCGGTTCTCTGCTGGCAATCTCTGGTGCTCCTCAGTGTATAGAAGCCTCGCCCCAATCTCTGCCTTCACCTTCATGTGCATTCTCGCCGCGTGTGTGTGTGTGTGTGTGTGTGTGTGTGTGTGTGTGTAGTTCCAAAATTTCTCTTTGCATAAGGACACTCGCCATACTGGCTTAGTGGCCACGTTAATGACCTCATCTTAACTGCATCCGCGATGATCCTGTGTTCAAATAAGACCACATTCTGGGTTACTGGGGGGTTGGGACTTCAGCATCCTGATTTCAAGGGGATAGAATTCAACCTGTGAGAGGGGGTTGGGAATTTGGGGTCTTGGGAGAGGCGGGACCTGGAAACCAGAAATCTATCTTCAGGGAAGAGAGGGATTTAGGGCAAAACTGAAGGGCAAGTTCAAGTTGGGGGTGATGGGTCTGGTTTGGAATGGTCCACAGCTGATTCCAGCTTAATTGGCCAAACCAGAACCACGGACCCGCGCTCCACACCCCAGAACTCCCTCTCTGACCATCTCAGTAAATGGCATTGCCGTTCACCGTTCACCCTTTGCTCGAGCCAGAATCCTGAAGTAGGTCCAGCCTCTGTAATTCCTGCTGGCTCCTCTTCCCAACTCCCCACCTCTTCAGCCACACCCTCTTGCCCCAGGGGAACCCCCTCCTTCCTAACTCACCTCCCCTCTGCTGCCCCTACTCATCTCCAAATTATACCCTTGCAGCAGCCAGAGGCCCCTCCGACAGCCTCCATCCAAATACATCACTTGCCTGCTTTGCACCCTTGGATGGCTTCCATCAGCTAAAAATACACCCAGAGTCCCTACCATGGCCAGCTGGGCACCGAATGATCAGGCCTGTGTGTCCCCTCTGACTCCATCTCTTATCCACTCCCCCTCAGTCACACCGTATAAGGACCCCTGCTGTCAGTTACTCCAGCACACCATGCCTTTTCCTGCTTGTGCTCATGCTGTTCCCTCTGCCGGCACTGCCCTTCCAGGGCATCTCTGCCGAGCCCGCTACTTCCCCGACTAGACACTGAGTAGACACTCAGTAACTATGGGTTCATTGCCTGGAGGAGGCCGGGCCAGGGTGAGATCATTTACTTGAAAACCTCATTTGTCTTCTCGGTGGGCTGCTGACTCCCATTTCCCCGGAGACTTCAGGAGGAATTGGGAATCCCATTTCCTCAGTTGGGAACTCCATTCCCTATCAGTTCCTGGGGGTTAAAGTGGCCAGGATCTCTCTTCCCAACGTGCACAAGGGTAGAGACTAGGCTAACGTAAACCACGCGTTGGAGCCTTGGGAAACTACAACTCCCCGAAGACCTCGGGACCGGCTCTCCTACCGACGGGGCGACAGCGCCACACAGCATGCTGGGAATTGTAGTCCGACGGTCTCGCGGGAAGGAAAAGGCCCACCCGCGGGGGTGGCCGTGTCTTTATACCTCTATGGGGGCGGGGCTTCGAGCAGGTGAATGCCTGTGGCCAGGGGCAGAGCCAGGTCCAAGGCCTAAGACTCCAGACGCTTCCCATGTCACCGGGAGCACTCAGTTAGGGGTTCTGACCCTTCAAGGACACAGCATAGGAGGGAGGAATTGCAATTAGGCACCCTTGGGGGCCAGGCTTCCCTCAACCAGACCTGGTCCTGGAGCCTGCCCCAAGTTGTAGTTTCCCACTCTTTAAGTCTCAATTGCAGATCTGGGCATAGGAGAATGACGCCGAAGTGTCCCAACTTGCCAACTCACCCCCCTACCCCCTCTCCCACTCAGGATCTATATGCCTTGGGATCTATATCCCAAGTTGGAAGGCAAGGGGGGGGGGGGCAGGCCTGGACCTGGGGCTCAGCGGATACCCCACCACTCAAGCCTCCGCCCACAAGGCAAACAGACCTTACACTTGAGGGGCTGTCAGAGTCCCAGGAAAGGAGGTAACACGCAGATTCCCGGCGCTCTCCCGGCTTGGTGTCAAATGTCCTCCAGAAGGTGCTTCTTCGGTGGCTGAGAACCCGGCTCAGCGCAGACACGGTCTTGCCCTCCTGGCCCCAGGGTCCCCCAGCCCCAACCACCACTCCCACCAGCCCTCTTGCCGAGCCCCACGGACAGCCCGTGGGCAAGGTCTTCCTCCTCTTTTCTGACTCCTCCGCCCACGTGCTTCCGGCGTAGGTGGCCCCCACGGGTTGGCCAGCTCTCTAGGGCTCCTTCTGGAAGCATCGGCCCAGCTCACGACCCCCGGATATCTCATCTGCTGCCCTTCCACAAGCCCGTGTGAGCCAAGGTGAGGACCAGCACCTGCCTGGCTCCTGGCTGTCCAGTAACATCTAGAATAAATGCTAGGCCTCGCCCCCAAAACCTCCGCTGGCCTGCATGCCAAATGGCATGCAATTGTGGCGCCTGGGTGGCTGTCAGCCGAGTGGCCGACTTCACCTCAGGTCATGATCTCCCAGCTCATGAGCTTGAGTCCCACATCGGGGTGAAACCAGAACGGACGAATGCGGTCTCCCAGCCTCCGACAGTATCCCTGCCTCCCGCACGGGGAGAGCGCCTGGCCCCGGTCCCGCGTGGGCTGCCTGGCATCGGCTCTGTCCACCCCTGAGAAATGAGGGGGTCTAAGGCCGCGAGTGGTTAAATAATTAATAAGATTACCAACGGTGTGTTAATTACAAATAACGAGAGAGGAGCTACAGGTGGTGGATTTTCCAAACAGAGAACCAGGGCTGGAGAAGCGGGATGCGCGGCCCCAGGGCCCAGGGGTCCGGCCACCCGGGCGGGGCAGCTCCGTAATAAATAATGGGGGTGGGGACGGGGCGTCAGGGCTGCTCCTGCTTCTTCTTGACAGAGATCCGCTTCTTCCTCGCCGCCAGCATCTCGTAGAAGGGGTCCACACTCACGGCTGCCCTGCAGAAGGGGAGGGTCCCGGGGTGAGGGCCCAGGAGTCCCCGCCCCGGCCCTCCCTGCCCGAGGACCGCGGAGCCCGGGCTCACTGGATGGACTTGATCCACTCCTCCTTCTCCTCCTGCGTCGGGGCCGAGATCCGGTACACCATGTGGTTCCCCTCAACCACCCGGCCGTCCGCCTCGGTCTTGCAGGCTTTGATGAGCTGCCCCTTGTTGTTGGGGATGTAGAGCTCAAAGCAGTTCTGGGGACACACGAGAGTAGAGAGCGGCAGGTAGGAGCCGGCCGGGGACCAGAAGGCCGCCCCCCCTCGGCCCCGCCCCGCCCCGCCCGGAAGGGGTACAGGGGACGGTCTTACCGGTTTTCGGGGGTCATCCACCTCGCGGATGCTCAGATTCTCCAGGGGGATGATACCTCGGGGTTCCTTGTCCTGAAAGAACAAGTCGGACAGGGGGACAGGGCTCAGGGCTCACACCGCCCAGTCCTCGCCCCGACCCCTCCTCCAGAACCGAGGCAAGGTCTGTAGTTTAAGCCACCCGCTTTGTGGCACTTTGTCACCGCGGCCCTAGGGCACTGATAGTGCCCCTCGTCCCTCAGACCCGGGAGATCAGACCCTCATCCCTTCCTCCCTCAGACCCGGAAGTGTTGCCCCCAGCCCCTCCTCCCTCAGACACGGGAACCCAGACCCGCCCCCCCGCAGCCCCTCCTCCTCCTCGGACGCGGCAGCGAAGCCCAGCTCGGCCCTCACCGTCGTGTACTCAAAATAGTAGAGGCAGTTGTCGGTGAGGATAAACCAGCGCCGCTTCCACGTCTTCACCCGGCCCCCTGAAAGGGAAGGGGTGGGAGGGGGCCTGGGCTCAGCGGGGGGCGGGGCCTCTGGGAGGGCCGGGAGGGGGCTGAGGCGGAGCGAGCGCAGGGAAGGCGGGGCCTAGCACAAAGCGAGGCGTGGGAAGAGAGGCGAGAAGGGACAGGCATTCGGGGGCCCCAGGATCCCGCCCGCCCCCAGCGTGGGGCTCCACATTTTCTCAGCCTGTCTGTCAGGCCAGGGCCCAGCCCCCTGCTACGGGCCCCGAGGCCGGGGCGGCCCCCTCCTCTTCTGTCACGGGCGGGGGCGGGGAGCAAGGACGGGCTGCGTACCTACCTCCTGGGGCAGACAGCGAGAAAGCAGGCAGGACCAGGCGAAGAGAAGGGAAGGCAGAAGAGTGGGGTGCCCCCAAAAGCCGCAGGCAACAGAAATGGGGGGAGCAGGGGAAGGAGAGCATGGGGAGTAGGAGACAGAAACAGCAGAGAGAAACACGCAGAGAGGGAGGGAGGGAGGAGGGGGGAAGAGAGGGAAGAAAACCAGTTACATCGACATGACCCTCTCCCTCCCGGGGGGGGGTCTGAAGATCCTGAGCCCCCCCACGAGGGAGCACCTCCTGGCACCAGTGGCCGGCTCCAGTCCACCCCCCAGGACAGGTCGTCGGCCGGGAGGACCCTCCACGAGCGGGAAGTCCCCAAGGCAGAAGACAAAATCCCCAGTCTTGGGCCTGAGGTGGGCGGGGGGCGCTCAGGTCCGCTGGCTGTGTGACCTTAGGACAACCTCTTGTCCTCTCTGGACGCCAGTGTGCAGGCCCTCTTGGGCCCATCCCTGCCTGCTTCACGAAGAGCTGTCTCCAGGCACCCTGTCCGTCCGGAAAGGTTAGGGACAGCAATAGTGGCTGTCATTAGGCCTCTTCATGCACACAACTAGCTCAGGCTCCCTTTGCTATGTACACTTCTGCCTTTGAAGGAAGAGGGGCGTCTCTCTAACCGCTACACAGGGTAAAACTGCACTGGGGTCAGAGATCTGGGTCCCAGGCCACTCCCGCCCTGTGGCTGCCGGACGTCAGCTGAGCCTCAGTTTCCTGATCAAGGAAATGGGAAGCCTCCTGTTCTGGGGCGGGCCTGGAGGGCGGGCTACTTCCTGGAGAACATGCCGCTCCTGCTTGCCTCTCTCCTGCTCTCTCCAGGCCAGGGGCACCAGGAATCTAACACCCCCCCCAACCACACTGCATCGGCCCCCACCGGGAGCTGACACAGGGACCCATCTACCCACTGGTGGCTGGAAAGAGTGGTCTGCACCTTGTGTGTGGACCAGGACACCTGGGCACCCAGTCAGGGACCTGCTTGCGGCTGGAGAAGCGAGGTCTTGGCTTAAGAGCACAAGTCCAAGGTTGGCTGGCGAGGAGGCCCTGCTGTGCACCCCCCCCCGCCCCCAGACTCCGGCTGCTTCCACTGTTCACCCTCCATCGGCCATTTACTGCCTCTCCACCCCCAAGCCCCAGCTCGCACTCCCATGGCGCCTACCATTACTGGCCGTGGCTCCCAGCCAGCAGCCTGCAACCTTGAGTCTGCACTGAAAGCACCCAGGGGAGCTTTCACCATGACGGACAGCCCGTCCTGGCCCAGAAACCCTCACTTCATGAGGCTGTGGCTTGGCCGGCAGGGTTCTAAAAGCCCCCAGGGGAAGCTCCCGGAAAGCCTTGGCTGTGAACCACTCCAATCCTCAGATCACCCCCCCCCCACCCCCACCAGCGAGAAGCACCTGCGTGACCCCTGACTTATCCAGAACCTCGTGCTTCCAGGCTGCCTGGCCCCGCCCTGCCTGTTCTGGTCTGGCCGGTGACTTTCATTCATAAGCACAGGGCCTGGCGTTTTATTCAGGGCTCCCTGCCCCCTACCCTACACCCCCCAAATGCTTCTGGGGCCCTTCCTCTCTGCTGGTCCCTGCGCTTGGGTCCAGCGCACAGGCCTGATCTTGTTTTCAGCCCCATTTTTCAGAAGTGGAAACCGAGGCTCAGAGAGATCCAATGGTTTGCCTAAGACCACACAGCAGGTCCGCATGGAAGGCGTCCAGAGCCCGGGGCCCCTTAACGTTCCGCCTGCAGAGCCAGCCACGCAGGGTCAGTAGGGGACGTACCCAGCTTAAGGAGCCAGCCCTCCCGATCTGGGTTGAAGAAGGTGTGGGTCAGGTCGTTCCCATCATCCTCGGGGATCTTGAAGGGCTCATTTCGGATGCTGTCGTAGAGATTCTGAAGGGCGAAGGGGGGAGTCAGCAACTCCAGGCCCCGGCCCCCTGCCCGGCCACGGGGAGCTCCGACAGCCAGGGAGGAAACAGGGACCACGGGGCGCAGCGGCTCTGGGAAGAAGGGGGGTAAGATGGATGCAGGGGAGCCCAGGGAGCAGAGGAAGTTGGAGAGGAAGGAAAGACGCTGCGCTGCAAGGCCTACAAAGTTCTCGAGAGACAGAGACCCCAAACAAGCCAGAGAGACACAGCAGAGAGAGCCAGAGAGACAAAGAGTGAGGGAGCCAGGGAGAGACTGAAGAGAAAAGACAGGTTGACATTCCGCTGGATGGCTCATGAATGGCGGGGGGGCGGGGAGAGGGACAGCGAAGAGGGGTGGAGGGGGGGTGGAGGGGGTCTGACCCTGAGCAGTTCCTCGGGCAGGTCCCCCCCCTCGTTGATGCCCCGGTTCATGGCCACAAAGCGCTCCAGGCCTGGCTTGTCCCGGACGTTGGGGTTGTGGAGGCTGGTGTTCAGCATGATCACGGCGAAGGACAGCACGTAGCACGTGTCTGCAGCGGACAGTCGGGTGGTGATGACACAGGCAGATGTCCCGCCAGCCCCCCCCACCCTGCCTTCCCAGGCGCCAGGAGGCTGGGCCCCAACCTGTGGACTGGAAGACCCCCGGGTTGCACAGGCAGTATCGCTGGGCGAAGGCTTCCATCATGCGGTCGATCTTCTGGGCCTCCCCTGGGAGGCGGAAACTCCAGAGAAACTGCCTGGGTTGGAGAGGAGCCCGGTGTGGGTGCCGGGCCTAGCGGAACCCCCGGCCCGTTCTCGGTCCCCGTGTCAGGAAGCAGCCCCAGACAGCCTTGTGGCTGCAGCAGCTGTCTCGGCTACGGATCCGGGCTGAACAATGAGCATGGGCCTGGGACTTCCAGTGGGTTCACACAGGAAAAAAATTCTTTCTTTCTGCAGAGCTTGCTAGACAAATCTGGCGGCTGCCAGA